AAGCCCAGGACAATGCATGACATTGTCGGCATGAATGCTGTTGAGGTGACTGTAAAGATCACAGTGACCCCCACTGATGAGATTGTTGTTGTGCCCCCCCACCTTTCCCCTAGACTGACTCGGGGAAACTAGAGCTGATCCAGGTGTTGCTGTTGCTCCTACTGCACGCCCAGGAGTGCCAGCAGCGTGAACAGGCCAACGGGGAGGAGTGGTCATGCTCCAGGCCCCAGTGCTGCAGCATGAGGAAGGTCCTAAAGCATATGACCCAGTGCCAGTCCGGCATGACCTGCCAGGGTGAGTGCAGAATCACACTTCTGTTACTACTCATCTGGATGGATTCAGGATGGAGGAGGATTAATTTACCTTTGGCTCACGCGTTCTCCTTCACTCCAGTGCCATGTGTGTTTCTGTCATCTAACAATTTGAACCCCTCTTTGTGTCCCTGCAGAGTATCTCTGTGCTTTAGCCTGCCAGCTCATCTCTCACTGGGAGACCTGCACACAGGACGACTGTCTGACTGTCCACTTTTAATCATGATGAATAACATGAACGACAAAAGGAGCAACAGTGTAAGTCCCCAGCCAAGTATTTGACACTGCAGCAGTATGGTTATTGTGGTATGAGACTTCAAGACTTCAAGACTTTTTATTGTCATTGTACAGTTGCCTGGACAACGAAATTAGCTGGCAAGACCACAAAGACGCAAGAAAGTGTCAGTACAAGATATAAAAACAATATAAAAACACAGTATACACAATGTATAGGTACAAGAGACATTGGGGGGTATATGCAAGGGTGTCATAAATATAATAAATAAGGGGGAAGGGCTTTTGTCATAGATAAGTGACACTATTGGGTAGGTTGGTAATTGCACATTTGCCAAGATATTGCACAGAGCCATAGTCAGTAGCAGCAGTGAGATGAACGTATGGAAGAAATCTGCACACACATGAAATCTGCACACACGCACACACCCACACACACATACATATACACACTTATGGTCACCATAAGTTTAAAAAGATAGCAGTGAGGGGAGGATTGAAGGAGTGATGTTAGTGATCTGGTGCATTAAGAGTTCTAACTGCCCACGGGTAGAAGCTATTCTTTACTCTGTTGGTTTTGCACCTGATGGATCTGAACCTTTTTTTACCAGAGGGCAGTATGTTGAATAGGTGGTGGTTAGGATGGAGGTGGTCTTTTATGATCGCCCTGGCTCTGGAGAGACACCTAGAGCTGGCAATGGAGTCCAGGGAGGGGAGTGGACAGCCAATCACCTTCTCTGCTGTTCTAGTGCAGGGAACAGCGCCCTCTGCAGGGTAAAAGCACCCTGGCGCTNTCGGTCCCCGCAAGAGTGACTGATGTAAATTTCACCATCAGGGGTTTGCGCTGGATGGCATGGAGTTATGGAAGATTCTTAATGTTCATGAGTCTCTATCCAGGAGGTTAAGTCTGAAGTCAGTTAGGAACAATTTGCGAGTCAAACTGTGTCTGTTTATGTGCGACTTGAGTGCAGCTTTAGGAGTTGCCAGTTGGAGTGTCCATCTCTGCCTGATGGCTGAATTCATGCTCAGAATGGTGAAGCGTGTGTCACTCATCTTTGTGTAGAGAGTGTGCAAGAGCCTGTATAATTGTAAAGACTAGAGGGGGGGTTAAAACACGTTATTCTACAACTATCCAATCAATACAAGGTGATGAGACACTGACGTCCATGAGCTCAGTGAGGTAGAAAATGTTTTGCTTCATTGAAGCTCCTTTTCTCAGCTTAAGTGTGTAGGGGCTCCTACCTTTCAGACAGTTGTTTTTGTTGTTTTTGTTTTTCACTCTGACCAGTTGCGCTCAAACTCCCGGAGTTCTGGTGTGGCCAGTTTGGTTCGTGCAGGCGGAGGCTCAGTTCGCATGGTAATTTGATGAACAACGCAATGGTGAAACGCGACCCAGATACATCCCCTTCAGCGCCATAAAAGGGGGTTGGGGACGTGGCCAGGTGACAATGGCTCATTCATACACATGAAAGTTGCTACATGTTCAATGAAAGGAGCCAGAAACAGTGACATGAGTTAGCTTTTTCTTATTTATTTAATGTTGCAACTACACCATTTAGTCATCTTCATGTAGCCAAGACTTTGTTGATCAGATATCTGGGATCAAAACAAACTGCCAGCATTGCTTACTATGTACTTTTATAATGTGTCTGCAATTGTTCCAAACTGCATTTTGCAATGTCTATACCTTGATGTCAAATTACAAACTTCACATGATTAAATAATTACAAAGTACACTAAGATTAAGATGAGTGTAATGCCAAAACAAATATTTAACAAATAATTTATTTGCTATGAATTAAGTTTATGTTATTGAATGAAATGTGTGACCATGCCCCAGTCAGTGAAAGTGTGTCCCCTACCCCTAGACTCCAGAGGGTTAAAAATGCTGCCCAGTCTTTCCAGTGGCTCATGGACAGTGTCCTAAAGGACATTCTGTTACTGTTTGTCTGTCTGGATGACACCCTGGGTAACCCGGGAACCAAACCCAGGACCTTCTTGCTGTGAGGTAACAGTGCTAACCACTGTACCACGTGCTGCCCCCTTTGGTCATGCAATGAATGAGAAAAATAGGCTTTATGGGAAATATGCTAAATCAAATTAAACATTTCATAGTCAAGGGCCAAGGCAAAGGTTTTTTTTAAAGTACTGTATGATTAAAATGTCATCTTTGGTGCAGACTGCTTTAATTCATAAATACATTTTCAAAATACTCAAGCACAGCTACAACAGAGACTCTCGGGTACTTCTGCAGTCAGAAGATACCCGACTCTTATTTTGTAGGGATCAGGAGGGAGGCGTGGTCTTTGTGATGTACCTGGCCAATAACAGATGGCACACCTATAACCCAACCCACCTCCGGTCAAATGGAATACAAGACGTTTTCTGATATTGGGTGCGTTCGACTTGGGCTTAGGTCTGTCTGATGTGACGTGGAGCGAGATCTGCCGGCGGCTGCAGGGGTGGAGTATAAAGTGATTGCAGCCAAGTCTGACAACTTCTACTCCTCGTTGTGTGTGAGACCTGACTGCAATGGCAGCACTGCCAGAAGGATAGCGATTAAACAAATAAAGCAGCGCAATATTACAGTAACTAACAATAAATAAACCACTAACTTACGTGTACTATTACAGCATTTATGTCATTTATTTAAACTTCATTTTACCAGGTAAATTAACTGAAAACCAGTTCTCACTGCTTTACGTGATATTCGGGAGAAATAGCAGATACTGCATCGAAACTTCTTGGGATACAGACGTCATGCGTGTAACTAAAATCTTCAGCCAATAAGGGCAAAGTTGTGTCGTCATGGAGGCGGCTCCAGTTTGTGCAGCCGGCTGAGAGGTGCGGCACGATCTGTTTTAAGTCGTCGCAAGGTTTTTGTACCATGTGACATGGTGACGCGTGGTGCAGTGAAGTCGGACAAAAAAATCTAACCATGATGCATTGCGCCAGGACCAGAATGCATTGCTTTAAGCCAGTGCTGTAAGCAGCTGCATGTCGAAGTCGAACGCACCCATTTTCTTTAAACAGACACCAATGAACACAAATCAAACCGTTTCCCAGTTTTCCCTTCACAATTTGTCTAGTGAAAATGGTGAAAACGACCTGTTTTTTCATTTTTGATATTTCCGTCTCAAATCGGAAAACGACGGAGCCGCCAAGATTATTTTTACTTATTTGTTTACTGTTTGCACTGTGTGTAATGTTTTGCACTTTGCCTGTTTTTATTAAATGTAAGTTTCCCTGCACTGTGGGATGTTAACCTTTTTTTGAAATAGTTGGTCACGTTAATTTAAAGCTACTCCATTTCATGGTGACTACATTGCTTGTTTGACGAATATAAAATGTATCAATTGACACACATTTACAGGGATCACATGACAATCAGGAGATGGAGGCATCATCACCTGCTGATCACAATCAACCAGACCCAGAGGAGGTATTACTGGGAGAGAAGAACACAGAAGGCTGAAGGATCTATATTGTTTATTTTGGTATGTTTGCCTGCAGTCCCAA